CCCTCATTTTGTGTAGTATAATCACTGTATCATTTCCATATCCAAGGAGAGTGTGTTTTTCAACATGAATATATTTCTCTTAAGAAATATACTTGGGCACTCTAGCCCGGGCAACACAGTGAGACTCTGTCTCAAAAAAAAAAAAAGAAATATACTTGGGAATTTTCAGTAAGTAATAATATATTAGTTGCATTTTTCTGTCTAACTTAAATCTATCTATGAAAAAACTCAAAATCCCAGTATTCTGGTATTTTAAATGAGGAAAATATGAATAAGAGTTGTAAGTTTCTGTTACCAAGACAGCCTAAATCTTTAATGTCCCATTTTACTGCATATTCACTCACATTCTTATTGAAGAATACTGTCCCATAAAACAAAATTTAATCTATCTCCAGTATTTATTAGATATATTAATAACCTAATGTTAATATGCTTCTTTATTTTATAAGGCTGAGCTAGCTAAGCTTTTGTTTAGTTAGATAGAATCCTGAAGTGAAAGAGTCAAAGTATTTCTCAAAAAGCTGTAACTTATTCCAAGATTCCAGCAATAAAATTCTTTAAATACAACATTAGGGAATGGTTGAGTTCATTATTATGTTAGAACAAGCAAGTGTGTATATATGAAGAAAGACGGTTTGAAAAAATGCTGAATTAAGAGTTTTTATTTTCTCTCATCTCACAAGAATGCTAATATTTGCTGTAATTTGTTGCTTTTTGAATATTTTTGTTTTAGAGCATAGGAAAAGCATTTTTTAATCAATCTGAAAATTAGAGGAACTTATCGGAGTGTCTATTTCCAAGCTAGGAACTACATATGCTCACTCTTTTAAAAAAAAGTCAAAATGCAAAACCCGTCCTCCTTCCATCAGTGTGTCCCACCCCACTTCATTTAAGTAAGTGAAAAAAGTATACAATGTTTATTTCCATAGGCTAAAGCAATAGAAAAATCTGATCATCTAGAGACTATTGTTGAGCAACGATTTACACTCTCTTTGGCTATTCCATTCACTCACCTTTCCTCATTGGCCACAAGAGTACCATTTAGTAAATTACTAATTCTGTACATCACTTGGTACTCTAGAGTGCTTGACATTCATTTGCCAAATTTATTATCAAATCTTAAATGTACATCCAAGAACTAAGTTATTCATTGGCACCTCTCTCCCTACATAAAGATTATTATTATTTCATGTATATGGAAATTTCAAATATCCAAATTTTGATGTTATGACTGTAGCCAAGTTTTTAAGATCAGCATTAATATTATAAGGGATATGTTACTCAACTCCTTAGGATGGGCGTGGGAGAAAATAGATTGGTTTTTAAATTACCCATAAATGATTGCTATATTTATATATCAAGCATGTCTCTAGAACTTTTTAATAAATATTAATTAATAAATATGAGTTATGCCTATGTAGAATTTCTTTTGCCCATTTCTAGTACTAAAAAACAAAACCACCTTGTTTTCTGGAAGAATATGAGCATAAATGATTAGATGATTCTTCTAAATACAAATACTACAGATAATTTTAGTACAATAATTTCAAAGCTCATTAATATCATTATATGAAGCAAAATGGGGGAAAATAACACTAAACTATTTCTTTTGCATTCAGAAAAAAAAGGGAATAAGTTCCAGAAGGTAGGAGGCATCGTTTATGTACAGATGACCTATTTATTGACTGTTTGTCTGATTGATTCAAATTCTGCATCTAGAGCAGGTACAGAACATGATACTGAATGAACAGGCTTTCTGCAGTGCTCTGTCAGGGAGGCTGAATCACTGTCTGAGTGTCAGTCTATGCCAGCTCCACTTTTCCTTCCTGTATCTTATTGAGGCTTGTTTTAATGATGCTTTGGGGGGGTTCCAGAACTTAATTTCCTATGTTAATGTGACAGGCAGCTGTATATGTTATAGAGCTCCAGAGAAGCCCATAGTCAAAAATAACTCCCTTCTATTGCCCTCCTGACTCTCACCCTAGGTAATAAAGTGTTAACCGCTCCTCACCAGCGTATTCCCAGATCATTTTTTACATGAGATCTAGTTCGATTTCCATTTTCATATGAGGAATTTGCATGAAATTTAAATATCCACGAGGCTTATTTAGTGATAAAAACTATTTGAGGATACAATTTTGAAAGCTTATTTTTTTTTTTTTTTGAAGGTGGGAGAGTTGAAGCTGGATGTTTGTTTTCTAATGTAAACTGGAAGAACATGTATAGCTTTTAGATCTCTGTAGAATTCCTCTAACAGAGCTTTTTTTTGTCAGTATTATTTAAATAACATAAATCTCAGGATAATTTTACACAATTGTACTTAGAACATTGTTAAAAAGAAATATTAAT